GCTCTTCCTCTGTCGTGTCCGACTCTGTAATTTACCTCCTCTGCCTATTTTCGGCAGAAAGTGATGCTTTACTGCTCAGTGGGCTGGATGGTTTGTTGTGTGTGTGCCGGGTCACCGATCAGGAACAAATCCGCCCTTCACACCCTGAAATCTCATCTCCTGCAAAAGAGAGGAGGTGTGTTAAAGCTCCCCTGTTTTCATCCTCCCTCCCCCCCCCCCCCCCCCCTCCCCCCCCCCCCCCCACTTTTCATTCTTCTCTCACTCCCTCCTCTATTTATTTGTCTCCGTCTCGTCCTCCAGCATCTCTCGCCGCGTTATTTCCCGCAGCTTTTACTTCCCTCACCTGCTCTCTCCATCTCCTCCTTCCTCTCGCTCTTTAAGAGCAAAAACAAATTGTGAGATGTCGGTGCGAATCGGCCGAAGCCTTATTGACACGTCCTCAGATGGACAAAAGCGTTTAAAGTCTCTGCAGACTGTCTTGATCTCTGACCGGGAGGATAAATTGGATTTTTCTCAGCTTCTCTTGGCCGAGTGCAGCAGGGAGCAGGACATTCGATAGAGTCACTTTGCTTTAAAGATGATGCTTTCACACCTTTCCTTTGTGCTCCGTTATCTAGAAAACACTGATTTAAATGTCACACATTCCAACCTGCTGGTAAAGCAGCAGATTATTGGATTTATTGGATTTTAGGTTTTCTGTGTCTTAAAGCTTAAAATCTGTTTCTTTGCCTAATTTCTGACTCTGCATAGAAAGATGATTCTTAGAGCGAATCAGGGAGGCGTTTCCCAAAAAGGAAGTTTTCCTTTGTTGCCAACAAGCATAACATTATGACCACTGCAAGGAGAACAGCTTTTCTCTTAGTCCTGGACCTGGGGAGGACAAGGACACGTCCTTCTTTGAACTGTGTCGGGTCGTACCCTGATGAAGATGATGAGTATGATGCTGAGGATAATGATGATGATGATGGGGCCTCTCAGGTAATGGGGCTACAGCGTTCTGCTCTTAAATTAAATCTCCTTTAATGAAAGTTGAACTAACGGCTGTTATCCTAAACAGCCATGAGTTCGTATTTCCAGGGAATAATTGAATTAACCTCCGATTGCAGCAAAATGAGCCTCAGATCTTCCAATCAGGTTGAAACGACCTTAATGTCTTGTTTTCTTCAGACGCTGTTATTGCTTCCAAATAGGCTCAGCGATGTTTTCACCCTCAGACCCAGAAAACAAACTCATGATCTGGTTTTTTTCCCGGGATAATGACGGAAACGGCTCCTCCTGAGGAAGTCAGAACTTTCATTTCTTGTTTTTAGTTCATTGTTTCCTCGTGAGGCTTTTAAGGCTGACGGGGAACAGATGTAATAAAGGTTCAGACCTCACAGATCACATTTAAACTCAAATATTCAACCAAGTTTTGGGAAATTTGACAAAATGTCCTTCCTGCCATTTAATGTTGCCTGAAAAACCCTAAATATATTAATGCAGAACTACTTTAATAACGTAGACTTTCTGTTTTATCCTTATATAATTTCATCTGTTTGTTTCCTATTCTATTATTTTCTTAGCATTCCAGCTGCCTGCAGGAATCCTGCGTTCTCCTGCACTGATTCAGTTCTCCGACATCAGAGAACATTCATTATTGCAGCGCAGGAGCCGCTCTTTATTCCACCAACCGTTTAATGTCAGACGATTAACTATGAAATAAAAAGGAAAATAAAAGTCCAGCTCCTTCAGCAGGGAATCATTTCCAAACTGTTCTCCTGAGAAACGATTAAACGATCCCAGGTCAGCGATGAGCAACGTTCCCAATTCTCACACTGGGAAAAGACTTTATATTAGCGAGAATGATTTAACCACAGTAATAGGCAATAATTAATGATCAAATGACTTTAATACTTAATATTAATCCCCCTATACGCTTTATATAAGATGGAAGGAAGAGCAACGATCCCAGGAGCAGAGAAAGAGGCGTTTTATAAAAATTTAAAAACTGAAAGATTGATTAACGGTATTAGAACTAAAGACTGAAGTTCGTAAACCAACAGAAGAGCTGATCAGAGATGATGAGGAGGTCAAAGGTGAAGCAGGTGTGTGAGGAGAACTGATGCTAACCGGATGTTTGGTTAGCTAGCTTTCTCTCATGGAGCTGTGCGCCGCGTCGTTTCTGATTTATGCCTTTAGACTAACGCCACGTCTCATGGATGAACACGGATACCTCACTGCCTGAGTGGCGCTGATAGCGTATGCTAATGCTAACTTTAGCGTACTAATGCCGCCGTGAGCTGGGCTAGCAGCACATCACTCTAGCTGCTACTACAACATTAATGTTAATGTAAATATATTTTATTTAGGGAAATAATTCCAGTTAATGTAGAAAAGCTAAAATTTTATAGCTTTATTTACCAGCTATGGCTACACCTAAAGAAATAACTTCATTATAAAATGTTCATGATGTTTTCACTTCTACAGTTTCACAGCAAATCAAAGATGAGGACCGTCCGCTCTCACCCACTGGGTGTGAGACTCACGCCTCCCAGTGTGTTCACACGCTCTCACTCCAGATCCACAGTTTTACATGGTAAAAAATAACATTTAAACTCAACTCCATTCCACTTATGTATAAAATACCTACTGATAAAAATCCAGACCGTGTTTTCCACACAACCTTACTGCTAACAGATGAAGAAAGGTCCGCCTCAGATCCAGTCCGTATTTTGCACCAGCCCACTTATTCACTGCACCAGATATGGAAAAATGACCGGCAGTTACTAGTTACTAGTATTACTAGTAATACTAGTATTACTAGCATTACTAGTATTACTAGTATTACTAGTATTACTAGTTCAGTCATTTGAACTTTTATCTCATCGTATCTGGAATAAGATAATTCACTTTGTCAGTGAATGAAGATTTGAAGCAACGTATTACTTTAGTAAATATGTATGAAATAAAAAGTGGTTAGAGCATAGAGCTTGGAATCAAGAGGTCCTGAGTTCGAGTCCCACTCCCACAGCCTGCCACTCTGGGTCCCTGAGTAAGACCCTTAACCCCCCACTGCTCCCAGGCGCCGCACAGTGGCAGCCCACGTAGATTAAATAATTATTGCTTAGTCTAGTTGAATAATCTCTGGTTTAGATTTAGGACGAATTAAACCAACTCAGATGTTTAAATTCTTAAAGCTTTGCCTCACAAACAATCAGGAGCTTCACAATAAAGAAAAAGAATAAATAAAGGAGAGTTTTAATCTACAATGTCCCAGAAGGTCTGAATGGTTCAGCTGTTTGTCAGTTGTTAAAAAAAAAAAAAAACATAAGATAATGAGTGAAGATTTTTAATCCTTAGTCTATAAGCAAATATTCTGCACGGTGTAGTTTGCACAGGAGTCGATTGCTCTGGTTCCTGTATTAGTGTCAGTAATCCAGTAAGAACTTATTAGTTCCCCGTTGGTTCCACAAAAGTTAAAAACAATCCGCTGGAACCACACAGGAATATCGGTCAATTCATTTTGAATTAAAAAAGCTTCCAGGATGGGAAGAGAAACGTCTTCAAACTTGGAAACAGAGTCCAGTGGATTGATTTTAACTTTCCTGGAATAATTCTGACCTGAATGACTGAGAATCTAAACTAAAACATTCCTCATTGGTTATTTTACTTGAACTGCAGAGAATAATTAATAAACATAGTTGTGAAATTCTTAGTTTAAAGTTTATTTAAGTATTTTAGTAGGGCCCATTCTTATTTACTTCAATCCTCTGAAAATCACCCGAATATAGAAAATAATGGAGATTATTTTTACATTTTTCCACATAACTACACTTACTGATTGTTATTATAATTAAATATCATTTCATTGATCCAAATGTAAATTATTAAATAAAAGATTAGAAAAACAGAGGCTGAATAGTTCAGTTTGGATATAAATTCAGGATGTTTAGCTTTAGCATGCTAATGCTAATAGCTCAAGCTCATCCACATGTTGAACAAATAATTTCTTATTTAGTTTAATAATATCATTAAATAACATATGTGAGGTAGAAATGAAAGATTTCAATTTATCATTTGAACTTTCAGACTGAACTAAAGTAATTTAGGATTAATGCTATAAGGGGGTTAGCTTGAGGATGCTAATGCTTAGCTCACTGTATATTTGAATGAAATTATTTTATAGCATGTTTTGGGTTAATATTTAGGTTTAAGTTCTGATTTTTTTAGTATTAAAAACCTAGTGATTAATTGTAGCATGTGCTAGTTTAGCATTGCATTAGATTTACGGTTACATAGAGTTAGCTTTAATCTACTAGCAGAAACACCTGCTTGTATCATTTTAGCACATGTTAGCTAAATGTGTTTTAGCATGTTTTATCAAAAGTGTCTGTAAAATAATGGTAACTTCAGGACTAGCGCTATCATGCTAGTGTTGCCCTTAATTAGCATGCTAACACTGATCCAGCTGTGATTTCTGTTTGATCCGCCACCATTTTTCTTAACGATGACGTTTTATTGTTGCTGATTTAATTTTAATCCCAGTCGCTCAGAACTCTAACCCTGAGTGATCAAAGGTTTATTTATTAAGCTCAGCTTTATTCATAATTCATTCATATATCAGAGCATTTATAAAATGTTGTTTTTAATACTTCCTAGATGTGTTGATGAATGTATTAACTCTTTAAATGCTGCGTTTTCTTCTGTGATCTTCTTTACCACTCTTCTTCCTCCTTCTCTTCCTTCTTGTCTCTTTTACTTTATTTTACATCCTTTATTTGCTGACATCATCGGCCCTTTTTATTTTCCTGTCTCCCTTGCTTGCGTCCTGTCCCCCCCCCCCCCGTCTTTTTGTTGTCCTTTAAATGCTTCTCCTCCCTCCCGCTTCATCATCCCTTCCTTCCTCCTGGATGAACTGTTAACAGAGGCCACACCCACTCAGTATGGCCCCGCCCTCACAACCCCTCTTCCTCCTTCTGGCACCCCTTTGACTTACTCCTCCTCCTCTGATCCCCCACCAGTGTCCCCCAGCCCAGGCGTTGCCCTCCCCTCTGCCCCCCGGGACCTGGTCCCTGTCCTAGTGTCCAGCCGCTTCGTCCGGCTCAGCTGGCGCGCCCCAGAGGAGAGCGGCGGAGGCGTGCAGACCTACGGCGTTTACTATTCCCAGGATGGAGTTGACAGGTAGGATGAGAAGGAAGTTTCATTCTTGGTTGTTGGATTACAGATTACAGATTACAGATTACAGATTATAGCAGCCATCATCGGCTTCTGGCCTGTCAATCATCTCTAATACTTAGAAGGTCCAACATTCCAACATCAATAAACTATGGAGCTAAACTGGGGCCAAAAATTTGAAAAACTAACATTGTCATTTTTTTACTTTCGGCTTCAAACTTATAGCCCTGTTTTGGAATGGGGGGCGGGGCCTCAGGAAACAGGGTGTAGAATCATGACTGGTAGTGTTCTGTCAGATGAGCATACCCTATCAGACCAGCATACCCCGTCAGGCCAGCATATCCCGTCAGACCAGCATACACCATCAGACCAGCATACCCCATCAGACCAGCATACCCATCAGACCA